CGGGATCGCCGGGTGCCAGGCGTTGCTGCTCGCGGTGTCGGCGCTGGTCATCGTGGCCGAGCGCACCTCCCGTAAGTCCACAGACGCCGCGGTGCTGACACCGATTATGTTAGGGACAGGAATAAAAGAAAAAGAATTCGTGCTGAAAAGTAACGGTTTTCTCTTGAATTGCACGGTACATTCAGAGCGAACCGCGCAGCAGCAGCAGCAGCAGCAGCAGCAGCCTCTGCTCAGCCATGATGCTCGTAGCCAGTCGTTAAGGATGCTGTCACAAAGACATTTCTACACAATCGATTAATCTGACGGTGTTTATTCAATGCGCTGAGATGTATCGTTTTACCCGCTGAGTGTCTTTGAATTTGGCCTCTTAACCTCCAGAGGTCATACAGGTTAGGACATAATTAGTACTCCTTAAAAGACAGATAATAAATACACACTGCATTCTACATGTTACTATATATTTATTTTTTCTTATTTTTAAACTTCATACACATACATGAAATAAAAAGAAATTGAGGTTAATTTATTTTCCTGAAACTAAATTTTTTACTAGTGAGTTTCCTGTCGTTATAAAGTTTGAAAATTAAACGTTTTAATCAATGTTCAACCTTCACGACATGGATGTATATATGACGTGTCATATATACATCCGGTTCTGTATATCACTTTGGGGACCGTGATCTTTGGGTTCTACTCTGCAACACCAGATGTAAGCAACATCTCTGTGGCCATATTATCCCTCCAGCCCCCCCACTGCTGCTCCTACATCCCTTATGAAACACAGAAAGATGCAGCAGCAGAGCCAGGACAGGACAGGACAGTGGATGACCTCGATGACCTTGTACAGACCAGTCAGTTGATGATACAGTTAAATAAGTCAACAACTGCAATATTGTTAATATTATTGGTAATGTTTCCGAGAGGACGAAGCCATGCACATCTGGAGTCTGTGCTGAAAGTCTTTTGCAGCACAAACCGATGACTAAGCAGATCAATGAACCAAGGGCAGGACAAAAGAGAAAACAGGGACTGAATGTGTACAATGACTGGCTTTGTCCTCTGTGTGGCTACAGTAAAGTTCCTGGAATTTTACCCCCTGCTGCGTGGACTCTATGGGGCAAACAATGGTCGCAAGTTAAAATAAAAAAAGAATAGTTATTTTATCATTTTTGTCAAAGCTGTTTCTCATTGTTTTTAAAGCTAAACTCTCATAGCTTTATTTATTTATTTTTTTTAATTTCCAGCCTTTGTTTTTGACTTTGTTTTGATTAGATTTTGACCAGTTTGTGCCCATTTTTGCCCAAATCTGAGCTATTTCTAAGCAAACTGTCCTATTTTGACCAGTTTGTGCCCATTTTTGCTTAGCTATTTCTAAGCAAACTGTCCCATAATATTATCATACTTATAGTGAAATGCCAAACTTCAGTCATATAGAAATTACTAAATTCTAATTATATTTCTCAATATTTTTTTCCTTGAAAAATAACAATATGTCTATTTTGTATCCGTGTGTGTGTGTGTATACGTGTCAGTGTTCTACTGTGTAGGCTTTTACCTGTGGAATGAGGAGACACAGTGGGCCGGCCTCACCCTGGGCCTCTTTCTCCCAGGGACAGTGGTTCAACTGCTGAGTATGAAGTGGTATCATGATGATGGAGACGACAGGCGATGCTACCTCTCTGTCATACACATTCTGCACTTGGGCATCTTCAGAAGGTGAGCTGTTCATGCTGTGCATATAAATTCAGACAACACAGCATGGTGTCATCAGAGTGGATGGCTTGTCTTTTGAAACGTGTCAGGTAATTTAGCATGAACACTGAGGATGTCCTGAATTTATTAAAATAGGATTTGTTCTTTCAGACCTTGTTTTGTTTGGATCTCAACAGTGTTAGGCTCCCACGTTTTTCCATAATTCTTAAAAGAAAATTCTAAATTTAATTTAAAGTGGGGTTAGCATATTCTTCTCTGACGTGTGTTACTTAATGATAAAACTTTTGTCTTGTGCTTCATTCCGTTATTTAAATTTCATGAAACGTTGCCACTGACTTCTCTTTGGTGGGCCGTTGGCTCCCTCTCCTGACAGGTTGTGGGACTGTATGAGGTCTGTGCTGCACATGCAGGACTCCGTGGCTGAACTCGGAGTGGCAGTCATGCAGCAGGCAGACGCGGCTGCACTGTGGCTCTTGGAGGCCCTGGTGCTCACGCTGCCCCAGACCCTGCTGCAGGCCTACGTGGTGGTGTCCACAGATGTGGGCGTCATGTCACCAGGTAAACACAGGCATTAATAGCAGGGGGATTCAGTCAAAGAAATGCCTAATTGGGCACCCACCCTAATAGTAATAAGACAACCAAGAAGGATACAAATACACTGACTTTTCTACATTTCTAATTTGCTGCTACAACACTTGCTGTTTCACTGCAACTTGGTACAAATAGTGTCAAAACTGCAAAATCTGGGATTGAGAATCTAATGTGTTTCTACCTTCAGTGGGTTACTGCTGTGGCCTGTGTGTTCTGTCCATCTCCTGGGCCCTGGTTCTGTTCAGCAGAGCCTGTTGTCTGATCAGACCCGGTCACCTGGCCATGCCTCCTGCAGCCATGCTGTGCCAGCTGCTGTGGAGGGCAGGGATGCTGGGAGCCAGGGTCACATGTCTCATGCTCTTTGCCCGAGTCTTCAACTGGTGGGTCTGTGGAGTGGTAGGTGGGTGTCAGTTTACATGTGTGTATATGTTACATCACATAAAATATCTGTCAGATTGGAGCAGGGGAGAATCTGCGGCCAACATCCCTTGAAGCATACGTGTCAAACTCAAGGCCCGGGGGCCAAATGCGGCCCGCCAAGCCATTTTGTGTGGCCCGCGGGAGCTTAAAAAGCATTTAGTAAAGTCCATGCAGCAGAGTTTCTTAACCTAAATAATGAAAAGTTTTTATAATCAATCAAATAATAATCAATTGCAGAAACATGTATTAGTCTGTTATGGAGTAGTTACATCTATACCAGCGGTCCACAATCTTTTTTGTTCCAAGGACTGGTCAGCTAGTACCACCCGTTAGTACAGACCTGTAGTAAGGTACTGAGTATTAAATTTTCAAAATAATCTTTTATACGTCTATTCTGATAGTATCAGAGTTTGAATGACCTATTAATTTAAAATTAGATTATCTTTAGCCAGATTATCTTTATCTTTAAATGGATATGACTTTTTTTGAATGAAGTAAATTAGTAAAACTTAAGTACATTTTTCACTATATCCCACTGCGGCTCGGTACCAAATGACCTATGGACTGGCAGTGGTCCACGGACCGGGGGTTGGGGACCCCTGATCTATACAGTTTTCCATTCATAACCGGCCCTTCAAGGGGAACTGTACTGCTGATGTGGCCCCCGGTGAGAATGAGTTTGACACCCCTGCCTTAGAGTGATGCAGCAGCTCTGATGTTCTCCACTGTGTGCACTCCATGCTGATTCTGTATCACACACTGACACCTCCAGGTCTATTTCTGCATTGACCTCCAGGTTTCCACTGGCTCACTGCCTCCTTCTGGCTGGTGTCACAGCAGATCGACATCTGCACCGGCCCCTGGTGCTGCTGTGCTTTTAATGGCATCGTTGGACTCGTTCACGTCTTCCTCTTCTTCAATGTCAAGGACAGACCCTCACGTTTCCGCATGGCCAGCTTTTATGCAGTAAGAGTCAACGTGTTGTCGCTGATGTGGCCCGTGATAAATCCACACACACACAGACACACACACACACACACAGATATATGCTGTGTGGAGTCAGATTAGTTTGCACCGTCATCCTCTACTTGTGTCCTCGGCCTGTAGCGATGTAAAGCTGCCCACGGAGGGACTGATCATGTGACCTACTCTCCTCTTGCAGTTCATGTTTGTGGAGAATGCTACGTTGCTACTGGCCGCCTCTGACTTTCTTAGCGAGGCATCATGGGAAAGCATGACCCTCCCCACCACTGTGCTGTGTAGCTTTCTCCTCGGTGAGTCACCTTCTCTCTCTCTCTCGAGTGTTTTTAATAATAGGGTGTTATTGTCTCAGGTGTGACGCCTGACACCTGTGTCTAGTTTGTCAGTATGTGTTGCATGTGATAATGCTGGAGTTTTATATTATAATTATAATAATCAAACTGTAAAGTGCTGCTATCATTGAGACATGTTGATGTATAAAACCTGCACCAAATACCATGGATGTGTGTCACATAATATGAAAGGGATAGATTTTGGTTAATGAGGGAACTCTCAGTGTACTGGACTGGCCTGCCTGCAGTCCAGATCCGTCTCTTATTGAAAATGTCCAGTGCATCATAAAGAGGAAAGTCAGACAACAGACCCCACAAACTGTTGAGCTGCTCAACATTCTCGTTGTGTCTTGAGTGTTTTGTGATTTAACATCTTCGTCTCCCGTGTTTGTCTCAGGTGCTATCTTTCTTGTCATCTACTACCGGTTCCTTCATCCCAAGTCAACAGAGATTTCCCAAGGTACCAAGAACAACAACATGGGCAACGCATGCATGGATCAGGGAGAGTCGTCCTTCTCTCTGGGGGACAAAAGTTACCACGCTCCCTCCATTCAGAACCATGGCAGCTTCTCCCTCTCTGGTGTGGCTGGGACACTGCTGGAACACCCAGGTACCTGCGGGGGGCAGGCTGGCAGCTCCTGCCCATGTTACCACCACCACTGGCTTTTGATCCGACTAGCTTTAAAGACAGGAGACATGGGGAAAATCAACAGAGCCTACGGGGCCGGGGTGCCAGCAACCATACTGGACATGGAGGAGTACAATCAAGGATATAAGAACGAGGGCATGACGATCACAGCAGGGGTCAGCTGTGAGGCCATCTCCGCAGCCTCCGAGTCGCAGGGAAAAGGTCTGGCTCCGCTGTCGGACTGCAAGGACGAGTTCCAGAGTGTGAGCGAGCCCTCGTCCACCGAACAACCAGAAGAAGAGTTTGACAGTCTGGAGATGGAGAGCCAGACGGAGTCACCGTCATCGGAGTTCAAACGCAGCTCACCAGAGGGAAAGTCTGTGTTTGGAGACAGTCCTGAGCCATATTTCTGCCCTACTGAGTCCAATTCTACCCTGTACTTCAGCGCAGACCCTCATTCACCCAGCAGTGCCAGTAACCCCAGACTGGACAAAGACACAGGAGGTCTAAACTCCATCCCTAGTGATCCAGCTCTGCACAGAGATGTCCGAGGGCTCATGGGCCGGGTTGGGCCACGTTGCACTTCTACCCCTAAACTGGACTCTGGAGTGATGGACTCCCCTTCCAGCGTCCCCCACCTCACAGGTCCACGAAGGCAGCTTATAATGTCCAGGACAGACGAGGACGA